CATAATGCCACAGTAATTTTGTCGTTCAAACACAGCTAATCTTTTACCATACTCGACTTCTTCACTATTTTCAGACCAGCTTTTATCAGCTTGTAGTGTTTCCCAGCCATTCATCTCTCCCATTCAAACACGATTCCCGTGATTTTTAAGTGTCGTCGATTCGATATTCCCCAAGACACATCAAACAACTCCGATGGTATGAATGCTGCAGCTACCTCCGCCACACAAAAGCTTATCTAATTACGAGCGCCACCTATGGCACTTCACCGCATTACGCGCATAACAACGCGTTCTGCTCCTCAGGCAATTAGCGCGTCAAAGCTGTTTCACGTTTTGTCACCTCAATCCTCGCAGTCTCCCGCCAGTTTTACGTTCTGTCGCCTCATTGTACCCGCCAAATTCGCTCTTCGCGTCAACTTCTTCTGTGTTTGATCTGATTCGGCTTTGTGCGGAGTTGAAATCCGACAAGGATCGCTAAAAAGCTTATTGTCGAGGTTTATTAGCTGACTAGGGTTGGATTTGCGTTTGTGTTGAAGTGCGCCAAGTTAGGTGTGCAACTCTTTAGGATTGGTGTACAGAAATTCACAGTTGCATACGACAAAATTTGACTCGTTAAAGATGTGGACAACACAAGTCAGTAGTTATGGGAGGAGAGGATTTTATGGAGAATTGAAATGAAATTGAAAATTTTCATTTATGTGTGAGTGTGATGGTATTTGTGATTGGAGGGGTACATGTGAATGAGAATTGAGGGTTGGTGTTTGTTATTGTAAGAGAAAGAGAGAATGAAAGAGTGTGAGAGCACTCTGAAACCGTAATCTTTGGAGCACACACTCCAAACTACGAATCAAACCCTAGCAACTGCAAAAAGCAAGGCAACCACAGAAAAGAGTCTAAGAAAAAGTAGGGACATAACATCTACCGATACCAAAAATCATAAGGGAACCGAAAGCTACCTAACAACTAAAGATAAACAATCAATTGAAAATCAACCAGCGACAAGGGACCAACAAGCAATTGAGGACAAAACGAGCCTAGTGACTGAGGAGCTACTTGCGACTCTGGAATCTGGATCTGACAGCGACTGAGGATGAACGGACAACTGTGGACCTGGCAAAAAATACGGATCAAACCACGATTTCAACAAATAAAGAACTTGTAACAGATATAACCTGTCACACAACCAAAATCCTAAACAATAGTCTAGAGCCAAAAAACCCCAAGCCTAATTGCCACAAGTGCTGAAGCCCATCTCCCGTATTACAACAACAAACCTGATAAAAATCCTGAAAATAAAAACCCCAGCCTTAAAATTTATCACTTAAATATTCAAAGAGGACTCCAAAAGAAAATTGAAAAATTACTATTTGAAGTCCATGAAATAAATCCAGATATACTAATAATTTCAGAACATGGCCTAACAAATGAAGAACTTAAATCAGTAAATATACCTAATTATATTCTATCCTCTGATTTCTCCAGACATATTTATAAATGGGGTGGGGTAGCAATTTATATTAAGGAAGCGATGAAATACAAGCAAATTCATGAAATAAACATTCAGGATTTCAACGAAGAACTGACAATTGAATTAGCAGCAATCGAATTGATAAAAGAACAAACTATAATCATAGGAGGATACAGATCACCTAGTGGCAATTTAAATACATTTTTCAATAAATTTTCCGAATTTTTATCAAACTTCACGCATAAGAAAAAAAACATTATATTTATGGGAGATGTAAACATTGACTACCTCAAAAAAGCAACCCCTGATACAATTGAATTTTTAAATATACTAACAGAACATAACCTGAAACCGATTGAGGTGGAACCTACCAGAATAACTTCTACATCTGAGACATGTATTGATTGGTGCTGTACTAATATTAGCCTATCAAAACTACAAGTGTCATCTATTTGGAACTCAATCTCTGACCATCAGGCTTTGAAATGTATAGTAGAAGCAATAAAAATGAAAACTAACCCCCCCATCAAAAGGCTAACAAGAAAAATAACAACAGCTAAATTAGATGAACTAAAAGAATCACTTAGTAATCAAGACTGGTCATACATATTTACAACTCCTGATGTTAACAAAAAATATAACTACCTAGTGAAAACCATCCAAGGAAAAATTGAAGAAATCATGCCCAAAACCTACAGAGCGTATAATAACAAAAATAATAAAAAAATATTCTGGAATGAAAAGCTGGTAAAATTAAGATCTACTTTACGTCAGGCAGAACAAAAATATTTATTGACAAATAAAGATGAAGATAAGGAACTACACAAACGGCTAAAAAGATGTTATGACTTAGAAATTAAATTACAAAAAAGAAACACAATCATTGAAAAAATAAAAAATGCCCCCAATAAAAATAAAGAACTATGGTCAACCATAAATAGAGAAAGAAATCCCAATAAAAAACACAACGAGGAGATTAAACTAATAGCCAATGACCAACTTATCAGCGACCCTACCAAGATATGCAAATTATTTAATACCCACTTCATCACTCTAGGCAAAGGAGAACCTACTGAGACACTGGACACCAATTTCGACAACCTAACACCGGACATGACACTACCCGAACCAGACTCTCTATCGGAATTCAAGACTATAACCAAAAGAGAACTTGAGCAAATAATGACTAAGCTACCCCCAAAAAATTCCTCGGGGATTGATGAGATAAATAACAAAATGATTAAGCATTGTAAAAATCAAATAATTGAGCCCCTTTTAAACGTAATAAATGCCTCAATTAAACAAGCAACCGTACCAGACCTAGCAAAAATAGCCCTAGTCTATCCAAAGTATAAGAAAGGAGAGAAGACAAATATTTCAAACTATAGACCGATATCTATCCTACCAACATTGTCGAAATACATAGAAAAAAGCATACATAACCAACTGATGAACTATTTAGAAAATAATAATAAAATTTCCCAATCCCAACATGGTTTTCGAAGTGGCAAATCTACCAATACAGCATTAGCAACCCTTTGTGATAAAATAACTAATATATGGGAAACTAAATCCCAAGCAACCGGCATCTTCTTAGACATCGAAAAAGCATTTGACAGCTTAGATAGACAAATTCTTATAAAAAAGCTTAAGCAACTTAACATAACTCACAAAGCATTAGATTGGATCCAGAACTATCTAACGAACAGGAAGCAGCTAGTCGAAATAGAATATACGAAGAACTATTATGAAATCAAATGCAGGTCTAAACTACAGACAACTTACAAAGGAATTCCGCAGGGCTCCATACTAGGGCCCCTGCTTTTCTTAACATATATAAATTCATTCCCCACCAATTTTACAGAAGACAGCGCCTGTATAATGTTTGCAGACGACACAACAATCATCACACCAACAGATGGCAAAACTCCAGAACTTCAAAAATTAAAAACTAATGAAACTCTACAAATCTCTACAGCTGCTTGCAACGAAATAAACTTGACAATAAATAAACAGAAAACAATAGTAATAAACTTCAAACCTACAAACCATAACAATGAAATTTCAACTACAGATGAAAACTCACAAACCAATACTAAGTTCCTTGGAATAATTTTGGACAAAAACCTAACATGGCATGATCACCTTTTAAAGCTAGGTGGAAAATTGTCACAAGTTGTGTATGCTTTACGAAGAATTAGAAGTCTACCAAACAAAGAAATTACTATAACTGCATATCATGCAATCTTTTCATCGCATATCAGATATGGCATCATAGCCTGGGGCTCTGCAAATGAAATTCACATTGAGAAAATAATAACCTTACAGAAGAAAGCAATTCGAATAATAGAACAAATTGAACAAGAAAACCCACAAGCCCACTGTAAACCTTTCTTTATCGAAAACCAAATCCTAACTGTAATCTCCCTTTACCTTTTTGAAACAATTACCTCAATCAAATCAAATCCCCCCCAACTCAGAACCCAATGTCACAACTGTAACATCAGAAACAAATCAAACCTTGACATAGGCTATCACAGGCTAAACAAAACCAGTAAAACACCAAACAACATGGTGATCAAAATGTTTAATCTTTTGCCAAAAGAACTCAAAGAAATAAGTGAAAATAAAACTTTTAAAAAACAACTCAAACAATACTTGATTAAACGACCATATTATAAATTAATTGACTTTATAAATGAACACAAATATAACCTAAACAATAAATAGGAGAGCAATGCTCAAACTCACACACACGCATACACATATTAACAAGAATTTGACGATTCCCCTGTCTACAAGGACGGCGGAGAAGACATCGATGGTAAATGGTAAATGGTAAATGGTAAAGAGAAAATGGGGGAGGAAGAGGGAGACATCATATATAATGGAAACAAAAATAGGTTCATAGTATGCATGAGCTCACAGCACACACTTGCAGTAATTTAATACCAAATTTCTTAGACTTCACTTTTTTCAACTAACAACAATAATAGGTGCTTCCGTACATGTACAAGAACTTCCCCAACTCGTGACTTCAGTTACCAACAGCTTAAAAAGATGAAGCACGGTTTCAAAAGGTGTCACACATTTTTCCGTATCCAATGGTTGCTTCAATAAAAAACATGGTTTCAGTACTAAACACAAATGATGACCTAATTTAATGGTCATTTTGACAATGGGGAGTTCTTGGGTAGAGCATTTCTTCAAAGATGGAGTTCAAGACAGTTAATTAGTTAACAATGATGTTAACTCAGCTGAAATTGTCAAGCAAGTGCATGAAGCAAGCACATTTTCGTTGAAATGCAATGCATTGTTGACCATTGACATTTTAACACGTTTAATCTTCTAGCTATGTAAAGGTTCTAGTAAGAATTTACTGGACAGGAGAGGAACCAACAAGATCAAAATAATGACTAAAAGGAACACATATCAATGTGCAAGAAAAATTGAATTTATAGTTTGCACAATATCTTAGGATTTGATAACTTATCAAACAAGGGTATATTGTAAAAACTGTTAAGAATCCAACCTGTATTCTAGCCTCTGGCAATCCGATCTTCTCGGCGAGCCTTTCTCTGGCGAACACGTCTGGGTAATGTGTCCTCTCAAACTCTATAACAAACATAAATCAAAACAAAATCTTAAACAAAATAAATAATCAATTTTACTTAAATTTAATTGAACCAAATATTAGTTGAGTTGATGGATTGATTTTGTAATGATGAATACTTAGACGAGACTTTCAAGAAAATACTTCATCATCTCGGGTAAGGAGAGATCGATCGTAGTATTTAAACCAGTCAGTTAACTTGTTATAAATCTACTTGAAAAGAAAGACTGGCTTTATTAGTGCATTGCTACCCTATTTAATTATTTTAATAGGTAAATAAATAGCTTACATAAATTAAGAAAGGTAACATTATTCAAACGTTCAATCCTCAAAAATTTGACATATCGAGCGTTTACTTTTATAAGGGTTGAAAGTATTTCGTTTATGCTTTTACTTTAACTCTACGACTAGTTAGTTGGTGAATAGCAGGATTAAAGTTACTCTAACATTAGAAAAACATGCTACGTTTTACAGTCATTCTGGTTGTTATAATTTTTATAGAGTGCACTCAAACAGTTTATACCACGCAACGAGAAGGACCCACAACGAATATAGTTTATAAACCCACAAAATTAACGTTTTATTATGTTTTATCTGTGGTAACGTACATTGTCATCACACACCGTAAGGGTTGTTTCATTTTAGATTATGTCTTTTTTTAGGAAAAAGAGCCCAAACATATTACCATACAATGAGAAATGCCCTCTTCATTAATTTCGGTCACAAACTGATAAAAAAACAACAATATATCATTTTCAAACACCTTCTACCACTAAACCACAGTTAGTAAGTAACAAAGTACGAGATCACTTCCATACAGGCTGTTTTACGGTCCTGTCGGATAGATCAGTTAAAGAGTAGGCCTATATCCACAACCATTTTACCAGTCAACAAGGAATAACCATTACTAATGACGAGTTAAAACTATAAAATAACCATTAAATATCCCCAACCTCTATACCACTACAGTTAGTAAGCTAAGATCATCGCACTACCACACAGGTTGTTTGTACCAAGACAGAGTGTAGGTATTCCTTAGATGAGATTCAAGCATGATTCAAGTACCTTTCTCCAGGCTGTCTATTTGTTCGTTGGTAAAGGAAGTGCGATTCCGCTGCAGTTTCCGCTTCAGCCGTAGCCTCAACTGGGAGTCTTCATCAGCTGATGAGTTGTGTTCTGAGTTGCCGTCAGAAGTGTTTTCGTGGATCATATCTCCTGAGGGAAAACGCCACTTAAGACTTCCGGTGAAGAAAGGCATAGAACAAGACGGGAGGGATGACGAACTAGCTTCCGGATTGGTTACTTTCAGGGTGTTCGGTAATGTCTTAGCCTTTTCGTAATCTCTTCCGTCTTATTCTATCAGTGATAAAACACAATCAGTGATTCTAGGCTCTAAAACTAAGTATTCCTTATGGTGGGTAGTAGGGACAAGTGAAACTTGAGTTGAAGGTGATTGTGTAAGTTAAGGCTACTTGGCAAAAGGTACGTGAATTCAAGGGTTTGGGGATTATTAAAAATTGTAAAATGAGTTGGAATTTTTCAAATTAAACTATCATTTATTTGTCAAGTTTATTCTTAAAATTATTTATCCAACTGAATAGAACGGATTGTGGGTGACTATTGACATAACGTTGACTATTTCATACTAAACCGCCAATAGTGTTCAATTGACTTGGTGTAACACCAACTCTACATTGAGCACAGTGATTTAAGTATAAGGAAAAAATTATAAGTATGTTTTTTTGTATTTATAGTTTGTTGTGTGTATCACGTAAAAGCCGTTGATGAATTTATCACATTCGAGTAAAAAAATAGTGTAAATGATCAAATAAAAAGGGCATTGGGACGCACAAACAGCAAATAACAAAAAATGGAAACTGTAATCCTGGAAAACAAATTAAAATTCATAATAATTAAAAATATAATAAGTATTAAAACTAATAAATCATGCACAATTAAAACTAAAACAGAATGGACTTTTTTACCACAGTTCGAACTTTAATAAAATAAATACTCAGGGGAATTACGAACTCTAGAGCGAGAAACATAACGGTGAGTGAAGCTGCAGCTTGGACCTGGGTCTAATGGAGATCGAGTTAGGGCTATTAGGTCTTGTTTGACCTGGTCGAAGGGATTAAGAATGGTTAAGTCCTTGTGTAGTCTGCGTAGGCGGTGAGAAGGCTCTTAGGTCTGAATTAACCACCACATTACCACAAATGCATTGTGAATGCAGTCGATTTTTGGAGGGGCAATTTACTCGATAGCAAGAAACAGAAAAACAATATTTTGTAGAAGAATTTGGACTAAACATTTGAAAGCACTATTCAAGACTATTATGTTTTAGACAAATATTTTAATGTGAAATAAAATGCACTTAAAAAGGGATAAGGTACGTAAGACATATTTTAAAAATTAAAATCATTATGTGAGTATGATTTTAACTGCTATTTTAATAGATTTTGATGCAGTATCTGTCATTATCAAAACAAACCCGATTGTTCAAACTATCACCAGTATTTAAGGGATTTCCAGAGTAAAGAAGGAAGACAAAGACGGGAAGCGGCTAAAGAGAGCTAAAGAAACTCGTCTCAAGAATTACAGACGTCTGTTATTGTGGTTGATGCAATTTACAATAAATTTCAAACATGGCTGCCCCGAGTCCCGCCCGCGGAATTGTTATATTTCCAAAGTAATGTCACTAATGTCACTACCTTATGTTCCCCGTTCAAAATTGCTCCCATTCTCTGAGGAACGATTACAACTTTTTTCTGTAGAAATGAACATAATTTCCGTCTGACTGGGCGGGCCCCCTCCCCCCCCCCCGCCAACGAGTTGGTGAGGTCGTAATTGCGTTAGTGGTAAATTTCATCACGAGAACGTCTTGAGTTGCGCCCCGAGCTTCGAAGATTAGATTACCCTCCCCGGCAGAGAGCACCCTGGCCCTACCCCGCCGCCGTGAACTGCAAACACCGACGATTTGATGACCGATTTTAGATTTGGAAAATCTCAATATTGGTGTTACAGTTTAACTTGATTTACTTACCTAGAATCTGTATAAATTAAACTATTATTTTTTGTTGTTTAAGATTCAAAACTGTAATTTTTTACATTAACCAATTAGGATTCGTGATACAACCGAGGTTTAAGAGATAACTAAAAATTAATCCAGCAATTAAAGAATATTATTTCCATAAAAATACTGAAGAATAATCCAACGCACACAACAAGACATTATTCGACAACGTAAAGCGCATCCGGTTGACGAGGGACTTATCCTTTGGAGCTTGGCCAGGTAGAGTGCAGTGAATTAGCGCACCTTGCAGTAGTTAATGGTCCTAGTAAAGCCCTTTACTGTGGCACTCGGATCTAATCTGGCAGAGAGTGGATGGTCATCGGATCAAGCACTGAGTGCTGGGGAATGCACGCATGTATGACACAATCCTACTGTCTGCACAAGGGCTTGTACACTTGTACTATTGGGAGTAAAGATTGATGTTAGACAAAGTCAGGAAGTCTTAATCACTGTACAGTGTCGTTAAAACATATTTTGTAATCAACACATGATTGATGACTTAATATGTAATGAATTTAAGCGTTTGAATAGCTAATAGTTAGAAATAAAATAAAAAAGCTTGTTGATACGAATAATGGATTTAAATTAACTAATAATCTTGCAAAATTAGTGTTGAAAAGAGGATTGTTTGTTGATTAGCAAATCTATCCTGTAAACGCGATAACGAGCGTCAGGTGACGTGAAGCATGCTGTGTTTATCACCTGAAGATTTGCCTGAAGGGTCGAGAGTCAGCCCAACTTAGCCCGCCAGATTTTCTCAGCCGTTGGGCTCGGAGTTCAATTTAATCTGGTATGAAACTCGCGGAAGCGAGAGGCAAAGTTATATTAATCAATAGACGTCAAAACTCCGCTGAACAAGGAGGAGAGTCAAGTCTGAGTTGTTATGTAGATGTAGGGAGGAGGGGGTGGGGGTGGTCAACAAAGTTTAGTGTATTTGAAGCGCCATTCAAGGGTAGGGAGCGACGCAGCGAAGCATGTCACGAGACTGGGGTAACTTTGAAACGTTATTATTTCGGATGTTCCTCCTCTCCTTGTCTTCGCCTTCTCGTCATCCGATTCGCCTCCGGTCTCTTTTTCCTTCCGAGTCGCGTAGAAGAAAGCAATTTAGAGAAAGTCGGACAACCCTTACTGCCGACGACGTTTAGTTTAATAACCGACCGTCTCGGGGAACATTGGAGTTACTCACTCCTGATTAAAAGTAAGCGGGTGATTCTTCCAGAGCAATTCGGAACGCTCTTTAATCACATTGAATTTTCTCTCGAGAGCTTTATCTAAGGTGAGGAGGAGTCTAAGGAATACCTAGACACTCAGCTTGACAACATTACTCTCTTTAGAGATGACTTTGTTCCAAATTGGTTTGTGTCTTAAAAGACATAGTCTCGTTACAGAGTGTTTGTAATATAATAGCCATTCCATGACTATTGACTATCCTACATATGCAATGTTTTGTTTACAGATAACAGACGTAAAGGCATAACACAGCAAACCCCCAAATCAACTATCAGCAGCAAAGCAAACTGACAAGTTATAGCTTTTTCATTATTGAAAATATGAAATGTACATGACAAACCAAACTCTGATGTAGATTTTGATCTTTTACTCAAACTTACTCCTGATTACTTTACATTGAGGGGTTCACTGTGATTTAAGCCTTTACGCAACACAAGCTCTACTTATCTCTACAGACACTGACCTCTCTTGGGGATGTCGTCGCGGGTGACCTGAGGCGCTAGGGCGGCTGCTGGGTTGGGCGGCAGACCCAGGTGGGCGGCTGTGGGTGATGTACCAGGGTACCACGCCCAGCCAGGGGTCTGACCGTTGAACATCCTCAGCTTGTCGTACACACTCTCGTTCTGGGATGACACTTGCTGCTCCTTCTGGGCGGCGAGGTTCCGTAACACTCGGTTGATGGAGGAAACCTGCAGAACACAGTGTATGAAGACTTGAGAGCCATAGGAGCAGAGGTTAAACATACAAATGCCGAAGAAAAACATCCAATGCAGTTCGTATTGGCTAGACAAATAAACGTCATAAAAATTGTGACTAAAGTCACGTCGAATATCTTCCAGCAACAAGCATAGGTGAGCACTGACTCATAATCGAAACTTCGTGCAGAATATTTTCGTTACGATATACATAATTGAGACTCGAAGACCATAGGAATAGTCTTAAAGAAGTAAGGCTTAGTACGTAGAATACCTTAATATGCAGTTACTTTGGGCTAGATTTACTTTAAACGTCATGGACATCGGACATGGAGACTATACTTCGAGGCGGTACTTCTCAAGGAACTACAACACAGGAGCTTTTGCTCAGCACCCACACTTCGTGAAACATATGTTTAGCTTTATGCAAACTAGTTCGGTTGGTATCGGATATAAGCGTTTTCAACCCATATTCTTCCGAATACATGTCTCTTGGAGCGTAAACTGTCACTGGTAAAATCTTTGATCGATGTACCAAACAATTTGTAGCTCAGACATTGTGAGGCAATACTAACTAAACTGTTTAAGATGTACAAGGAATGTTTTAAACTTTGTTAATTTGTAATCATTAAAATTCAATTTTTGTTTAGAAAGACATAGAATAATTCACACAACGAACAGACCTCTACATAAGGCCTACATATGCCGTGAGTCGTTCAGTGTAGCAGATGGTCTATTTCCGAAACAGATAATCCGCCTCCAAATCATTTCAAGTACCTCGGTCCCATCAGAGTGGGAGTATGTCTCTAAAGGCGTGCGCTTAAAGAGAGAAAGGCGGAGGTTGGCAAAAAGCGGAGTTATCAGGGGAGCGTTTTGGAGGGGGCCGCACAAAAGCCGGCGGTTGATGGTATCGTGGCAATTGTACGGACCCCAACCCATCACAACACAACACACGAGAGATGCTACTGACTTATCTGCCATCTACCGGCCAATACATGCCAGTATCATGACGGCGGATTGAGCTTTTCAGTACCTTTATCATTGTTGCTCATTTGTATTCTAGGACGCAAGGCTCTAGTCCGGAACAGTTTTTCATATTGTTAGACCCAGACGGATTATGACTTGGTGATTGGCTGGATTTGAACCGGAGACCTCGGTGACCGAGCCCACGCACTCTATCACTAGACCAGCTCCCTATTTTATACTAAGGTGTCCGTAAGTTAGGCTATGGTGAGATGCGTCTTGTAGCTTTGATGTATCTTTGACCAGGACTATTTAGTAAAAGACCAATGACCAAAGGTAGCTGGGTCTACTTTCGGATCCCTAAAAGGTTTATGGGTTATAGGTTCGAAATGCAAGGTGAGCGCTACTGTCCCCCTACCTAGATTTAGGCCTATTGTTCAAGTTCAGACAGCTACACCCTTATTAGCTTATTAGCCTACATCTCATATACCCTGTATCCATATCTATTCCCTGAATATGTATCTATCCCTTGTATCTCTAGACGACTTGATCACCACGCTTCGGTCGTCAAGTTTCGACACCCGTTTATACACACACAATGCCAATCGGCGTTGTGCGATTAGGTGTTGCGTCCCGCCATAATTTATTCCCGCGCTCCCCGTTGTCAGCAGACGACAGCTTGTGAGTGATGGCGTGCCGATGACTGCCGAACACGCCCGAGTGTGCCCGAGTCAATCGTCTGGCACTAAACTCCTCCGCTGGCACATTTGCGTTTTAATTGAAATACTCAAGAACCGTTAATAATGTTGTTAAATCACTGAGAAAGATAATTAACTATGAAAAACTCCAATGAATCATCCACCCTCCGAAATTGAGTAATCGAACTTGTAAGTTATGAACTGGTCTACGTTCTCATTTTCATTTAGAATGTTTTTACTTGATAAACTTCAACTATTTTAATAAAAGTAGAGTCCAATGGATCTTACCGATTTATCATAAATTGTATAGTTAAAACTTTAACTACGGCAATTATATGGACAACAACGTTTCTATGCAACTATTGTAACCACAGAGAGTCTACCTAGCTTAACCTGCCATACCATTATAATACACCAACAAACGAATCACAAAGAATAACGTTAGTTTGTCTTTATATATTTCTAAGGCAACTGCGAACTTTCTTTAAATTTCTTTCCGGTCTAGGCTGATATGACTTATTAATGTCATGACCAATAAGCATTCGAAGTCTTTATTTCACACATTTCCCCAAAATAAATACAAATAACCCGAATATTTTTGCTGTTTCCACCGTGTTTCGTGGGTTTCGTGTTTTTCTCAGGATCCAGTGTTATATACTTCGATGGAACCAATTGACAACCTTTAAATTGCTAGGTGAGCACACTCAATGTTTACAATGAAGCCACGCCACCCCAAAAATGTGGTGGACAGTAGAAATACGTGAATTTCCAATTTGACCATATTTTCTCTACACATTTACGACTCAATTAAAAAACCAATCCACCTTCAGTTTAGCACACTCTTTCCTAAGTAAGTCGTAGTCAATTTCGCCCACCCTCGACACTTCAAGTCTACATCTAGATAAAACAATCAAGCAGAACAAACGTCGGTCGCGTGGCTGTAATGGCGTGGGGTCGAACAGCTGTTGGCGCATTGATATCATAACTCCGCACTATTGACATTGACGTACAAACACTTCACTACAACCATCAGGGACTACATTACATGTGTTCTGCACTCTACAGTCATCTTTGATCTATCTCTGAGCCATGGGTTATTTCTGCGAGGTAACTCCGCTCAAAACAAATGTTTTCATTCTGTGGTTTCTGTTGTGATTTGAATATGTAAAAACTAAACATTTGTTCAGTTAATGTCAAAGTAGTAATTGGTATTTAAAAATTGAAAGGCAAGCTTCTAGCAAGTCAACCAAAGCAAGCCAAAATTTGAACAATTTGAATAATCTCATGTAAAAAGAAGACATGTGACTGAATGAATGAAAACAGATAGGTTTCATATTTAATGTAGCTAGATTATAATAAATTATAACGAAATCCATCCGAATAATCTATTTCCAAGGGTGGACGATTCATTTTAAGTTGTTTATTGCTCTGTCAAAATGACCAATCATTTTTTAACTTGTCTTTTAGTAGGCTTTTCAATAAACTGCTGTAGTTCAACACCATCTAAAAATTAATACATTTTGTACTCTAGTATTTTGAAACCTCGTGCAGATCGTAAACTTTAGGTCACCACCAAGGTTTAAAGTATTGTACACAACGTTTTATGGGGTGTTTTTTTAATAATAAGGTATCAAATCATTATTCATAAATTATTATATCATAAAAGTACCTACCAAATATAAATAAAAGTATGAACCACTTACTATCATTTATATATATTTACCGTCTAGTGAGTAGAAAGTTTCAGTAAAAGAGTAAATATATTATTACAAGTTTTATTTGACGAATTTTTGTACTTTCAGGTAAATAAAAATATTTCTTCAATAATATAACCATAGATAAATAATACTACAGTACCTTGTGGTTGGTCAGTCTACAATATTACGCATCTCAAATTGAGACAATATTCTAAGATATGTATTTTATAATCAGTGATTATCACTTAAGTAAATTATAATATACCAACAGCTGAGTTGTAACAGCTGATTTGTCACAGCTGAGTTGTAAGTTGCACGTGATTGGCTGTGAGGAGCGTCAATCTAGCAATATCCTGATGGCATTGACTCACTCCGTTAGTTTTGGCGACAAAGCATTGATTCCGTGTACACATTCCGCTTAACCGCTCAACAAATTGTCTCTGCCATCTGTGTTCAGTCAAGTAGTTTACAGGTTAGTTAACTACTCGATTTTGTTAAATATTCTACAAAGTTATTACAAAATAATTTATTTGATAATAACAATTTTTTATTTATTCGTAATAGTTATATTCAAGGGGAGTTATTTCAATTTGGATCACATTGAGGAACAACATAATTAAGTAAATTGATAATTAAACGAATATTTTGTTTATTACTTAAATTTATATTGTTTGGATTTTGGTGAAATTTTCCTGTAATAAGAAGCTATTATCGTAGGTGACACGGTAAAACCATACATCGATGGGTCCCTGGACCCAAATCATGTTTTCAGCCATTAAAACAGTCAAATTTTCAAAACTGTTGTTACAATCCCTTTATAGAGCTTAAAAACAAATACAATGCTTCAGCTTTATTTTACACAAAAAAGGATTAAGGATAAAACAGAAAAACTGTAATTGAACATTCTCATGCTATTCTTTGGTGAATACTCATGGATAAATGTTTTAGTTTGCTTGTTTACGGATGGCAAGTTTATTTATTTCATTCTAAGCTACATACAGTATTAGCATTCCACAAAAAAATGTCCTTCTCTTAAACAGTAAACCTTAGTCCTCGTTAAACTAATGTTATTTAAATAGGAAATAAATCAGATAACATGTTTAAGGACATATTTTGGTGATAATCCAATCACATTGAACGTTAACTTAAAACTACAGGTTTGCTGCGGAGGGGGGTATCAAATAAAATGTTTAATCTATGGATTTCCAAAGATAATTACAGTAAGTAAATTGATCGAGACTTTCAATTCAAATGTTTAAGACACTTTTAAGATTCGTTACAAGATGTTCCTTTGAAAAGCGTGACATATTTTTGAAAAATTGAACTCGAAACAATATTGTGTTTATTATTGCAGGCCCCCAAGTGGTTTTTGACCTCAAAAAAGTAGGAAAAGTAGGACTTTTTCAGCAAAAAGTAGGACTTTTTACTGAAAAGTAGGACTTAACTTTACATAGCCTACAAATCGAACTTTTTTGCTGATACAATATATATTAAAAACCAAATAATACTAGCATACACAATAGTTTATCAAATAGAATAGTGTATATAAATATACAGGGTGTTTCCAAATTGTCTGGACATATTTTGTGGACTTGTTTCTGGGGCTAAGACAAACATAAAATTCCATATAAGTATG